TCTCCCTTAGCTTTCTTGGAGGGGGGATTTTTTTTTTTTTTTTTTTTTTTTTTTTTGTCTGTACCAGAGTTTGAAATCACGGCCTCAGGCACCACCGAGCTACAACCCTTTTTAAATTTGGAGGCAGAGTCTTGCCCAGCTGCGGAGGCTCAGCTCAAACTTGCAACTTTCCTGCTTCAGCCTCCTCGCTAGCTGGAGTTATAGGCATGTGCCACCACGCCTGACCCAGGAGACTTTTCAAAAGAGAGACACTTGGGCCGGGGATGTAGCTCAGCAGCACACCACCTGCCTGGCAAGTGCAAGGTCCTGAGTTTGATCTTCTGTACCAAAAGAATAAATAAATAAAATAAAAATAAAAAGAGACACTTGAAGGACTGTAAGTGAAGTTGGCCCTCCCAGCCACGATCAAACAGGCTGGCAATTGGGCCCCAGAATAGTCATAGCTTTTAGACTTGAGTGTCAAAGCAAAGGACGTAAAGAAGACTTCCCGGGCAGCTATTGTCACTGAAGGCGCAGGCTAGAAGGAGGGATTTCCACCACCCTGGGTTTGGAGGGCAGACGTCCAGTATTGGGGTCGAGTCAGGGAATGCATGAGCGGGCACAGGGGCAGGTCTGCTGAGAGGGACAGAGCGCGAGCCTGGCTTCCTGATGCCCTCGCCCTTCAAATGCCTTCGCAGCACCTCCTCAGAGCCACAGGGTGGCAGGAATCCCCTCCACAGCCCAAGGCAGGCGACATGGACCTCCCCACCTCCCACCAACGCTCCGGACCCCACCACCACTGACATCCCCACTTTGTGTCTGACCTGGCTCCAGCTCCTCTCTCTCCTGCCCCCAGAAGCTTTCTTAATCCGCAGGGAGACCTGGGACCAGCTCAGAATCCCACCTCCACTGAACAGAAAGGAAGTCGGCATATCTGAGGGAACCGTGTCCACATAGTGTGGGAGGGAGCATGTATCTGCCTAGATGCTTAGATCCCAAAAGTGGCACTTGCCCTCCTCCTAGGTCCTGCCAGAAAAACGATCATGGGTGAGTTTGGGAAGACTTGGATTCTGGGAAAATCAGGACTGACCACCCTCGGGATGGTCCTATAGCCCTGCCCCTTTGACCAGGCAAGGGACCCCACCCACCCAGCCAGGCTAAGGGGAAGTCATTTCCCAAATCTTTTTAGCCACAGTGCCTTCGAGTGACACCATGTCATCTACCCTCCGTGCAACACTGCGAGACCTAGGCTGCTCTGCCAGCTGCCGAGGTGCCTCACAGCTTCCCAGGGCTCTGTTACAGTTTTGGCCTCGTGTTCCTGTGCCTTCCTCTGCCAGATCCCCTGTACGGTACAGGACTTGGTTTGCTTCTCCGGAACATGGACATTATTTTCTCCGTCTCACTCCCTCGCCTGGCACACAGCTTGTACCCCTTGAAGTAGATGAGGACATCTCAGCTGGTGACAGAGTTGGGAGCGGAGCTCCATGAGGAGTTGCCCTGGGATCTCTGCACCAACCAGCGCCCTGCCAATCCTAAGCACCTGGTCCCATTTAGTCCCATATACTTTTTTTAAAGACAAGGTCTTGTTGTATAGTTCAGGCCAGCTTTGAACTCACTATGTAGCCCAGGATCAGATGGTGATCCACCTGCCTTAGCCTCCTGAGTGCTGTGATTACAGGTGTGTGCCACCATGCCTGGCGTCCCATACGCTCTTGCTGAGCCCTATAAAGACTTTTCCACTGGTGCAGGCATGTAGCTCGGTGGTGCCACACCTGCCTGGCAAGCACAAGGTCCTGAGTTTAATCCCTGGTACTAGGGTCCTGCTCCCTCTTCCAAGGGGCCTCCCTTGTTCTGGGACCCAAAGCCACAAGAATCTAGGAGCTGCTCTAGGACCCTGCCCCTGAGCACGTGTCCTCAGACTGCCTCACCTGCTGTCCCTCCTCTGAGGCACCACCGGGCAGGCCGAGGCTGAGGGGGGCCCCTCTGAGTCTGGAGAGCGTGGTGGGGTGGGGCAGGTGATCTGGAGGTGCTGTCACCCCTCCTCACGCCCCAGCTCTGAGGAGAAGCTCCCCGCAGCTGTCCCGGAATGGCTGCCCCAAGTAGGGTCCCCTTCACGCGCCATCTCACCCCAACTCAGACTCTAAAAATGGTTCTCTCGAGGTTTCGGCGCCTGCCCACAAATTAGTGTCTCCAGCGCGGCCTCCTGGGACGGCTTCAGGGAGGCCTGGGGTCTAAGGGAGACGGGGCGGCAGGATCCCTTTCTGAGGGGACCAGAGTGGGCCCGGGCCCTTCCCACTGGGCCACACGCACCAAGCTGGTGACGGCTCTGCTGTCTTTGCCCCGCAGAGGGACAGATGTCACCCCCGCCTCCCACCCAACCACACTCCCCTCACCCCGCCACCGTGCAGCCACTGTCCCAGCGCTGCTCTGCTGGAGAAGACGGCAAGGGAAGAGGCTGCCAGCCTCTGTCCGTCCTGATGGGGGTCCACAGCCCGCCTTGCTGGGCCTGGCCTTCGTGGAACCCAGCAGGGAAGCGGGGCTCACTGCGGCCCGACCCCGGCGACTCAGCCTCCGGGCACCCAGCGGGCAGGCGCCCT